GAGCACTAACCTAGGGTGCTGCGGCTGCATCATCACCTTTAATACATTCAAGGGGCAGCAGCCAACAAGAGCGATGTGCACACCAGAGAGCTGTCCCATTGCCTGAAGTACCACACCCTCCCTCAGGCCACAGGCCCTGCTGCAGCCCCATCGTGTCAGCGAGCGCCACCCAGACTCCCCCAGGAGCAGTCCCACAAACCGGCCCCTCTTGGGAGGCAGACCCCAGCAGCAGCAGGCAGCCTCGCCCAAGCACGGCCACGACAGCCACGTCCGAGGGGTCCTTGCCACACTCACCCACTCTCTGGGCCTGGGCAGGCACCTGGGGCACCTGGGTGGAGGCCTGCCTCATGGTGCTGATGTTGGAGAGCAGGCGGCGGGGCGGCGCGGCGGCCCGCAGGATGGGGGTAGCTGCAGGATACGCTGCTGTGGAGATGGAGCACGATGAGTGGAGCTGCTTGGTGCAGCGGCACGGAAGGAGGTGTTGGGGGGTGGCCGTGGCAAGCTCAGGAGCACCTCACCTCCAGGGCGAGCCCTAACGTTTCATCCCCCCGTGCCCATCACCGCTACTGCTGCACCGAGCCCCCACGTGCTTCTCCAGGCAAGTCCCCCGTGGCCACGAGCTTTGTGGTGCTTTGAGAGACCCTCAGTCCCAGGGGAGCCCCTGCTGGGCCAGGCTGACTCACGGGGAGCCCGGCTGGGCTGCGCACTCCAGCGAGCGGCAGGACGGACCGAGACGACCGGGCTGGGGCTGTAGAAGGTAGTTCTGGTTTGGGGCTAGGGAAGGAGAACATTATCCAAGGTGACTTGGGAGCCAGATCCAACCCAGAACATCTCGGTGGCTGCCACGCAGACAAACAAGCCCAACCCCACGCTCTACAGTGTGCCAGAGCATTTTGAAGATTGACCCCCTATCCTGCAGCTGCCTGTCCTCACCAGCTCCACTTATCTCCTCCCCACAGCTTTTGCACCTCTGTAACCCTTCTCCATCCCCTCGTCCCATCAGCAGACTTGCTCTCCATGGTCACAGCTTCCCACCAAGCTCCTCCTTGGTGTTCTCCTCTGGGGGGTGGCTGGTAGCTACTAAATCCCCAGCCCCTTACATGGCATGCCTGTACCTCTCCAGCATCTTGGCAAGCCCTGCTGCTTATGCAGAAGCCCAGTGCTGATCCCACTGGTCCCACTAATCCCACGCCAGCCTGCACCCAGGTCTGCACAACCCAAGAATCATCGAATTACTGTGGTTGGAAAGGACCTCTAGGATCATCAAGTCCAACCTTCATCCCAGCACTTCCCTAACCAATAGACCATAGCCTCAAGTGCTACATCTGCTCGTTTTTTGAATGCCTCCAGGGATGGTGACTCCACCACCTCCCTGGGCAGCCCATTCCAGTGCCTGACCACTCTCCCAGTGAAGAAATTCTTCCTAATATCCAATCAATACCTTCCCTTGTGCAACTTCAGGTCCTTTCCTCTCATCCTATCACCAGTAATTTGGGAGAAGAGACCAACACCAGCTTCACCACAACCTCGTTTTAGGTAGTTGTAGAGAGCAATGAGGTCTCCTCTCAGTCTCCTCCAGACTAAACAACCCCAGTTCCCTCAGCAGGACTTCCTAAGGCATGTTTTCCAGCCCTCTCACCAGCTTTGCTGCCCTTCTCTGGACCCCTTCCAGCACCTCCATGTGCTTCTTACCCTGTGGTGCCCACAATGGACACAAGATGCTCCTCAGCCTAACTGCCACCCCGCTCCTCCAGTCCTCCAGGGCAAGTTGAGGTCCCCAGTGCGAGGCTGCCATTTGGCAGCGGGGACTCACCTGGGGGATGGGGGGTAGGAAATACCCCGGGGGGGGCTGGAAGGAGCCCAGGAGAGGGCCGTGCAGGACCCTCATGGTGGCCAGTCTCTGCATGTACTGGTTGGTGAGGATTGCTTTCCGCTCCTCCTTCCTCTGCGCGAGCGCGACGTAGAGAGGCTTGGTGCTGACGATCCGCCCGTTCATTTCTGTCACGGCCTTGGTAGCCTCTTCTGGGGAGGAAAAACATACAAACCCAAACCCTTTGCTGTGGCCACCCTCTGTCATCACCTAAAATTGGATTAGAACAAGACAGCTAAGTCCACAGATCGCTGCAGCACCCACAAAAACAGCACAACAAGGGGGTACACAAGACCTGCCAGCCCTGGGCACCCCACTGCAGCCCCTGCCTCCAGGGTGGGACAGAAGGAGCTGTGCCCATGGGGCTCCATGGAGAGGTTTCTCCAGGGAAGGGGAGGATTTGCTCAGGCAAAACCAGTAGGTCTGGGGAAATTAAGATGGCAGAGGCTCTGCCAGCCTGAGATCTACAGCCTGTGACCTTCCAGGGGGTCTGTGCCCCAGCAGACCCACGGGGCAGCAGCGCTGCCGTGCTCAGTGCTGCTGGAGCCAGTGAGGGCTGGGGATCAGTGGGACTGTGCCCTGCCTGAGGGCCAGGCAGGATCTGTCCCTGGCAGGTTACAGGCAGGTGACCCTAAAGCCAAACCATCCCTCTGCACTCACATGCACAGCCTTCAAGAGAAGACTGACACCAGTCTTGATGGTGAGACCAACACCTCACGGCTTCCCAAGCACCAGCCCAGCCCGCCCTCCCCGGAGCCAGGCGGCTCGTGGGTCACTCCCCTTTGTATCAGGGTCACATCGGTTCCAGGCCACAGAGTGGCTGTGCAGTGCTCAGGATGATGTGGCTTTAAGGTCCCATATCCTGCACCTCACTGGGACAGGGGCAACATGGCAAAGCCACAGAACACTTGCTGAATCAGCAAGTTCTTCAGGACAGTGAGCAGTACGAGTGGTGTGGCCTTCAGCCTTGGCTTCAGATACAAGCCATCAGCAGGGAGCCACAGCTCAACAGGATGATGATCCCAATCCACTTCCCAGGGCTGAGAGCACTGGCCAGCCGACCCCAGGACTCCAATAACAGCCCCAGTCCCTCACCTTGGCACTGGTGATGGTGCCATAGGGAGAGAACTCCCTCCTCAGCCTCTCATCATCTATCCCATCATCCAGGTTCTTCACATACAGGTTGACCCCCTGCAAAAAGGGAAAAAGGCAGCTTATGCTCCCAAGGTTTACAGCAGTGTTTCAAGCTGGATGAATATTTCAGCAGCAGCTCAGCCAGAGGGTGGGACATGCCACAGACATGTCTTCTCTAGAGCTGCTGCAGGACTGGTAACATGGAGAAGAGCCAGGACCACACCTGTGCTCCACTCCTGAGACACCCAGACCATTGCTGTGAAGCTGCTCCAAGACCTCAGGAAGCCAACTCATTTCCAGACTGATATTTTAATTGCTGGAAAAGAGCAGACCTGTTTGTTCACCTGCCAACATCACCCTGGGTTTACCTCTCTCTCTCTCCTCTTTCCTGATACTCTTTCCTGGGACATTGCCAGGCAGGGAATAGACCCCTGTGCAGGTCTTTAATTGCAGAAGGGACCCAGCACACTGATCTGCCCTGGAGACCCCTGTGCTGTCCCCAAGCCAAGAGGTCCCTGGATGCCTGGGGCACCTCCCTGGATGCAGCCCCGTAGGCCAGAGCATCCCAGTCTCCCCTTACCTGGTACCTGCTCACTCGCTCCTGCTTCATCTGCTCGAATTTCCTCTTCAGCTCACTCTGGCGCTCCAGCC